CTGGAAGAAAAGGCAACATCAGTTGGATCAGTTTCATGGAAGCTCATTTGGTGCTGAATGGGACAACTCGCTATGGTCAACTCACCCCGGCCATTTCGCTGTGGGACAACTCGTCACAGGACAATTCAACAAATACAAAAGTTAAATTAATTTCAATGGAACAGTGGCCAATAATAATAAAGTCAATCCAGTTGCAATAATTTCGATGAAAACATGGTCACCCATATTGAAAGTAACTGAATGAAATTATTAATACGGCGCTGAATTGTCCATCGGCGGCAGATTTTATTGTTAACCCTGTGATTGGCTCTGTGAAGTGGGGGGGGAGGGATGGAGGATTGGGTTTGGGGGAGGGGGGATTTATATTGTAAAACTTTATACAATTTTCAATTAAAAAAAAAAAAAAGAATTGTCCAGCGGCGAGTTGTCCCATGGCGAGTTGTCCTACAGCAAGTTGTCTGTAGCGAGCCAGCATAGCTCAGGAATTCTGGGAGTTGAAGTCCACGAGTCATAAAAGAGCCAAGTTTGCCTACCTGTCCTAGACCCCATTTGGTGTATTAGACATCTTTTATGTTTACAGTATTGCTTACTTTACCTCTAAGGGAAAATGCATGGGAATACCTAATTGGAGGAAAAAAGTAATCTAGGGTTAGGGTTTGGTTTCCTTGAATTTGGGGAGTAGATCCAACATCACAATTAGATTCAGGGAGGGTCTTTTTGTCTAGTGGACATCTTACCTTTAACTTTTCACTTAGTTTAGCTCTGAGGGAAAATGGAAGGAAAAATCTAATTAGGGGGAAAATCTAGAGTTAGGTTTAGGCTTCCTTGAGCACTGGTAGGAAATCCAACATCACAGTGTGATTTGGGAGGGGGGGTGTGCTCTTTTAGCGTAGTGGAACTGGAACAGAGGCAGTGGGCAACCAACAGCTGCAGCACAATGCAACTGCCCTTTTGTTAACTTCTTCACACAATTTATGAGACAGGCATGGGTGGAGGCCCCAGTGCTAGAACTGCTGAAATCCTCTTGAAAGGATACGCCAGCCCATTAAGGACTCTTCTGAACACATTCTCAATTGTGATCTTCATTTTCCTTCCCCACAGATTAACTCTTTCTGTCTCCCACAGTGTTTCTCAATTGTCACGGCCTTCTCTTTGTTCGTCTCTCTGCCCTTATTTCCACATGCATACCATAATCTCATACAAACATACTTTGAAACCCAACAGAATTACCATGTTTGGTAATAAATGGCTCAGCTCTTTATGCTAGTGAGCAAGGGGACTGCCTTTTAGCTGGCTCTAAATACACTTCTAGCAAGAACAAGATGCATTGTATAAATCCTTGTTTCTCTTATTTTCTCCAGATGAAAGATGGTTATATATTCCTTTTAGGATGGGCACAGGGTTTGTTGTTGTTGTTGTATTTTATAAGTAAGTTGAGTGAGGGGTTTTTTACAATGTAAATGCCAACTTCCAAATTAGGCTTAAAAATACATTTTGGAAGTAGCACTTTTTGAACAATTAAAATGCAGGCAGGTGATATCCCTGAATTTACCACAATTGAACCCAAAAATTATGTTGCTAAGTGAGAAATTTGTTGCCCCATTTGAGCGTTGCCCCATTTTACGACTTTTCTTGCCACATTTGTTAAGTGAATCACTACAGTTCTTAAATTAGTAACATGGTTGTTAAGTGAATCTGGTTTCCCCATTGGCTTTGCTTGTCAGAAGGTCCCAAAAGGGGATCACATGACTCCGAGACACCGCAGCCGTCATAAATGTGAGTCAGTTGTCAAGCATCTGAATATAAATCACGTGACCATGGGGATGCTGCAACGGTCATAAGTGTGAAAAATGGTCACGAGTCACTTTTTTCAGTGCCATTGTAACTTCAAACTGTCACTAAATGAACTATTATAAGTCGAGGACTACCTGTATAATGTACAAGGGGAAAATAATTCCTTGTTTAGAAGATTCTGTTAGCTTCCAAAACCTTTCTTGGAGTCAGTCAGTTAGAAAACTCAACTTTCATTTAGACTATTCATTTGACAGATAACCCAACTGTCTGTTTAACCTTCAAAAAGTTGAAGGTGAACGTTTGACAGGCTGCCAACAACCAAATCTATTTTTTTGTAATTCTAAAGGGGAAAGGAAGCTGTTCCATCACTCCTTGCCTCTTTCAAGATATAGTAGGTTAAGCTATCAACACATGCAGAACATAGAACAATACGCTCCCATAGAGTGGGTCTCCTCAGGGTGCCGTCAGCCAGACAGTGCCGGCTGGTGACCCCAAGGGGGAGGGCCTTCTCTGTGGGAGCTCCCACCCTCTGGAATGAACTGCCCCCAGAGATCAGGGTTATCCCTGATCTCCCTTCCTTTCGCCGCGCCCTCAAGACTTGGTTATTCCAGCTTGCAGGACTGGCCT